TCGGACGCTTAACCGACTGCGCCACCCAGGCGCCCCGGTGTGTGTTTTCTAAAAACAAGCACATCCACCTAAAAAGCCCCATGGTCCTCTCTGATCAAAAGCAGGAAATGGAACACTGAAACAATACTATTACCCAGTCGATGGACTCTATTTCAATTTTTCCAGTAGCCCTAATAATGGTGTTCATAGTAAGTATTTTTTTCTGGTCCAGAGTCCACTTCAGGATCATACTTGGAATTTAATTTTTATGTGATTTTTGTCTTTTTAAATCGGACTGTTAGTCAAGTTTTTTTATTTTTTCTTTCATGACAGTAACATTTTTGAAAAGTTCACCTGTTATTTTATGGAATGACCGTCCATTTAAATTTCTCTGATATTTCCTCATGATTAGATTTAGGTTATGCATTTGGATGGAAATACCTCAGAAGTGATATTATATCCATCTCCGTGCACTTGTGGAGACGCCTGATGTTGGTTTGTGCCACTGTTGGTGGTTATTTGATAGGTTTGATTACTTTGGCTATGTGGTGTGTGTCAGATTTCTTCACTGTAAAATTTGAATTAGTAGGTATTTTGTGGGGTGATATTTCAAGACTGTGTAAATATCCTTTTTCTCACCCACTTTCACCCACTAGTTGTAGTATCCAATAATGATCCTTGTCTAATCAGTTATTATGATGTTTACAAATTGGTGGTTTTCTTACGTCGTTATTCCTTTCTATTTACTAGTTGGTATTGAATTGCAAAGAAGAGCTTTCCCTTCCTCCTCATTATTTCGTTTAATCTGCTTTTTATCAGTATGCAGTCCTGGATCGTTACTTCATTCAAAGAGTTTATAGTCATAATCAGTTACTGTCACTGTATACTTTGGCGCTCAGTTGTTCCAGATTGTCCAGTTGTATGTAGGCCCTTTAGGCTGGCTCCTGTATACTTTTGATATATCTCCATCATTTCTTGAGCTCTTCCTTACTGTACAATAAAATGTTCTAGTCATATCTTGTACATCTCCTGCCCCAGCTCTGGAATTGGCTATTTCTCCAATGAGCCTTGGTGTTTCTTTCATTGCATTATCTAAAGTAACATAGTATGATATTTCAAAGCCCAGGTTTTATCACTTGTTAGCTGAGTTGATTGGTCAAAGTTTTTAACTTCTGTAAGCCCAAATTTTTACCTGGAAAATGAGGGTTAAAATGGTGTATGTCTCATAGTGTTGTGAAGATTAATTTAAATGATCCCCTTAAAGAACAATGCATGTCACTTGGTAAATATGACATGAACATTGCCTATTATTATTGTTATTATATTACTGTTCCCTCTCTTTTCCCCTTTTAACAGGATGTTCTTTTAAGGAGTTATTGAAGACGAAGTTTTTTTGTTTTTGTTTTTGTTTGTTTTTTAATGGCTTTACAGAATTTTAAATCGAATACAGTTTGACATGACGGCAAAAAATGTAAGTATTTGTAAATTTTTAAATGTAAGTATTCTTAATGTGAGTTGTACTTTTCCCTATGTACATTTTCTTCACTATTCTAATTAATCAAGTTCATTTTACTGGCATTAATTTATAATTGTTTTTGTTTATGCATAGAACAAGATAGTAAACTTTAGTGCTGTTGAATATAGCATTCTACTGGACACGGTAGCATTCTTATAAATTGCTGCCAAGTTGTGTCTTCTCAACAGCTGCAAAATTTCCATCTGTAGAAAGTTTCCCACCCCTCTCCTTTTTTGGTACTGTAATAAATTTGTTTTCGTGCTTGCTGGAGATTTTTACTTAGAAGATCACTGTTTTCTTTGGCCCAGTTTTTTTCTTGTGGACATAAGGGAATATGTATACTGGATATTGTTCAAAAGAAGCTTGCTATCTTCCATGAGATGATTCCTGAGGGGACATTAGATTTTGGATTTTTTGGAGAACTTATTCAGTTTGTTTCCTCTGCTTGAGGCTATCATTTCTGAATCTACTTCCTTTCAAGTTATTTTCTTATTGTCAGGCTGTATCAATGGATTTGTTTCCAGTTATGTGAGGATTATGCTAGAAAATAAATACTACAACATTTAGGGAAATAACTTACAATTGCTTTACTGTTCCCAGATTGTGATGTTGGAATCTTTGATTGCATGTAACAGAAGCCAGCTTAGGCTACCTTAAAAAGGGAATTTATTATAAAGATACAGGAATGTCTCAAACAATTTATGAGTAGGAATTTAGTGGGCCCTCAGAAAGATCTGAGTACAGGAACTTGAAATCTACCAGGAACTGAAGCAGTGTTTAGTTTCCATTTATTAACTCTGCTTGTCTGTGTGCATCTGCTTCATACTCTCTCTCTCTCTCTCTGCAAATCATGCTCCTTAGTTTTCCAGGCAGCATCTCAATATACGTGTTACAGAGCCAGCCTGTTCAGAGAGAGAGAGGTGTGAAGGAAAGGAAGGAGGCAGCTTGACAGATCCTGTCTGCCCACGTGAGCTCCAATTCCAAACTCCTTGGGGTGGACCTCTGACACTGCTCAAGTGTGACGTCTACTAGTGGTTTAGTTAATTGTGACCAGGAAGAGCCAGCATTCTGTTGTGTGGAAAGGTCTTTTGTAAGCCAGACAGTTCCAAATACTGCCTGTTATATATCTAAAGAATAACATTAAAAAAAAAAAAACAAAAACCACCTTAATTATTTGTCTCTATTTTCCTATTATTAACTTTGCTTTTGACATGCTATAAGTAGCTGTAAGCAGATATAGATTTTGTTTCATTATCATTTAATTAATTTCATTAGGATAAATTATCAGGAGTAGTAGGCTTTAATCTACATATTTGTTACATATTTGTTACATATTACATATTTGTGAAAGTGCTGTTGGGGGGAAAGAAGAAACAAAGTTTTAGTCTGTGTATAGGGAATTTTCTTATAGGATATTATCCTGATTTTTTTTTCTCCTTTAGGAAAAAGGGGAGGTAAAAGTTATCCTGAACCACAAGATGGTTAACATTCAAATAGCAAGCATATTTTGGCTTAAAATATGCCTTGAATTAAATATCATCTTCTTAGTCATATGTACAATACACTATATTAAAAGTTGTTTCCCTAAAGTAGCATAAAACATTTGAACCAGTGATGATTATACTCCCATTATTTTGTTTGTATATTTGGAAGAAATCAAACAGTGAGCAATATATTTCTCTTTCTGCTATGGCATCCTAGGGGGAGAGGGATAAGTGATGAGCTGATGGTCTTTTGATACCTTTGATTTAGGGACATGGAGAAGTCAAACCTCAGATTAGGCTAATGTATGTGGGAAAGAATTGGAATAGACTGTCTGAAAATAACCAATCAAGTTTACTACCTATTCTGCAATAGATACGAACATTTTTGTGGCTTTTAATATGTTTTGTCAAGATACTTACTGAAAGGATTATACTAGTTCACAGTGCCACAAACAATTCATTCTCCTTCTTCCCCCACCCACCAAATATATGTACCTGATCCTGTTCTAGGCTCCTGCCTTCTTTGGGCTTATAGTGTAGTGAGAGAAGACAGTGAATACATATATACTGTCAGGTAATGATAAATGTCACGACTAAAAATAAAATAGGGTAAGAAGAAAGAGGGTGATGGTAGCAAGGGAGAGCTCTTTCAACTCAGGTGTTCAGAGAGTTCTCTTTAAGGGCATGACATTCAGACAATGCTCTTGAGTCTCAATCCAAGAAGAAGCCAATCATATGAATATATGGGAAAAGATCATTCCAGGTAGAGGCAGGAAAAGGTGTGGTTGTTTAAGAAACAGCAAGGTGACCAGTTTTATAAGTGGAACAGACTAAGCAAGGGATAGTGGTGTGGGATGAAGTCAGAAGGGAAGCAGGGGCTGGATCATGTGGACCCTCAAGGACTGGGGCGTTGGGGGTATATTTGAAATGTCAGTAAGGAGCCATTAGAGATTGGTGGATAATTGCATGACCTGACTTACCATCTTAGAAAGTTTGTCCTGACTGCTGAGTCAATAGATTGAAGAGGGGCATAGTAGAAGCAGGAGACTCATTTGGCACTTAACTCAGTAGTTGAGACACACACGCAGGTCTTAGAGAGGCATTAGTAAACACATACTCAAATATTTACATCCTTATTTTCTGTTTCTCATGTTACATTTCTCTTATGAGAGCAGGTTTTTTGTGAAGAGTTGTTTTTGCCTTATCCATGCCATAGTAGGTCTCATGATTACAAATGATAGCAACCCTATTCAAAATAGCTTAAGGCAAAAAATGGAATGTGTTGATTCACATAACTGAAAAGTTTGGAGTAGTGTGGCTTCAAACATATCTGGATTCAGGGGATCACATGATGGTGTCAGGGATCTAGTCTCCCTTTTTCCATCTCTTGGCTCTATATGGTAGCAGAATACCCTATATTGGCCTTATAATTCTTATATGAGAAGAAGAGAGGGAACTTTTCTTTTTTAGCATGTATATTTCAGATTCCATGGAGGAGCTTTGGTTGACCCTGCTTGGCCCACATGTTCAGTTAGACAAGTAGAGAAAGAAGTGGGCCAGGTCTGGGTCATGGGTCCACTTTTGTTGAAATAGCACAATTGAAGCTCAAGGATTAACAGCCATACTGGAACTACGTGGATTGTGGGATGGGTCATTTTGCAAAAAGTAAGTTCTGTAAAGCTGGCAATATATTCACTGTTTCCGAGGTAAAATTGTTGTCAAATGGTATCTGGTAGCCACTGATACGCTTCATGACCACAAATGCTGGTGTGTTCTCACTTAAGCTCCCTCAATATACAATCAAGAATGTGGAAGGTAATTTGATGTGTATTTTGAGCCTTGTCAAATAATCTTTTAAAAAATATGTAAGACTTGGGGTGCCTGGGTGGCTCAGTTGGTTAAGCGTCCGACTTTGGCTCAGGTCATGATCTCATGCTTCGTGGGTTTGAGCCCCGCATTGAGCTATGTGTTGATGGCTCACAGCCTAGAATCTGCTTCAGATTCAATGTCTCTCTCTCTCTCTCTCTCTTTGTGTGTGTGTGTGTGTCTCTGTGCACCTCCCCGACTCACCCTCTGTCTTCTCTCAAAAATAAATAAAAAACATTTTTAAAAATGTAAGCCATGATACTCATTATAGAAAAATTAGAAAATACAGATAAGGAAATGGCATAGAGATTAGCAGCAGAATTTTGCCTAGGAAGACATCTGGTATATATACAAGTGTGTGTGTATGTAAAAAATATATGTATATATTTCTAATAAAAATGTCATGCTGTTTTGTAAACTACTGTTTAGCTTAATCTCTTTGATGAATGTCTTTTCTTATCTTAATATCTCTGCAACATCATTTTAAATGACTGTTTTATGTTATCTACTAAATAGGCATTATACTTTCTTAATATTGGCCATTAAGTTATTTCTATTTTTATATATTTTTAAAAATTTTTTTAATGTTTATTTTTTTTTGAGAGACAGAAAGTGAGCGGGGAGGGGCAGAGAGAGAGAAAGACACAGAATCTGAAGAGGCT